CAGAAAATCTACACACCTTTAAGAGAAGGCTACGCCTTTATCTGAATACTGACTCGATTAAACTTTTATTTTCCTCATCCTTCCCAGACAACTTTTTCTATGACACTGAGAAAGGGCCACCGGGAATTTAGCATGCCGCTATTAAATTTCCGTAGCTGTTCACGTTTCCTTTCTTTATGAGTAGTCTCGCTACCTAAGATCCCTCACCAGAAATGTTAATTATTCCAATTTTTTAGTTCATGCATCGTGCCCTCACAGAATGCACGCCATCGACGCTCTTGGCGAAACCTTCTGTATTCGCCATATACTAGTAGTTTGGTCGCATCTCATTTGCCCCATCCTCGGTTGGACTCGGATGAATGTAACCGACCGCATCTGGGCTCCTATTGCCTCGAGACTGATCTTCATGATGCCCTCACTGAATGCGCTTCATCGATGCTCTTGGCGAAGCCTTCTATATTAGCCATATACTAGTAATCTGGTCGCATCTCATTTGCCCTATCCTCGGATGGACTCTGATGAATGTAACAGACCGCATCTGGGTCCTTTTCGCCTCAAGACTGGTTGTCATCATGCCCTTACAGAATGCGCTCCATCGGCGGTCTTGTCAAAGCCTTCTATATTCGCCATATACTAGTAGTCTGGTCGCATCTCCCCCCCATGTTCGGATGGACTCGGTTGAATGAAACTGACCGCATCTGGGCTTGAGACTGGTTTTCAATTTCGGCACTTATTTTTCTTATTCAAGGCGATACAGGCCAGTCCTGACCGACCCGCCTACATACTATTTTATGAAATCCGTTACACAATGCCAAATACAGCTGACATCTATTTCGGCCATGTTGATGTCGGGCTTTATTCCATTTTGTACCGCCACATGCAGGCCAGTCCTCCCTTTTTTTCTGATGCTATTTTTCTGAGGGGTTTTTTTTCTCCTGTTAAATTACTACAATCATCTTTAAATTTTGCTTTGGAGTTTTTTTTTCACCCCTCGTTTTTTTCATTTTCATTTTGCTTAACGGACTTCTAATCTCAAAAACTATGCATTGCACTTTGTGCAGATTTTGCCTACATCGTCTAAAATTTGCATGTAAATTTATTTTTACTTGCTTTGATGGGACCCCGACGGGTCTTTAATAAAAATAATTGAATTGAATTGAATTGAGTTTCTCGAAAGCGGTCCTGCGGTAAGCCGCGTCAGGACGACTTGGCGGCTTATCAGGCTAGAGAAAATTTGTAATTATGACCGCGAATATTTATTGAACAGTCTGACAACAGAGATTTTGTAAACGCCCCGATAATTTTGAATGTCAGAACGACGGCCAGAGTTAAGTACTGGCATAATGGAAACAGGAGTTTTCCAATTATGAGAAAGAAACTATTCTAGAGGAAGAATGAGAACGGCTTGCTCAGTAGAAAAGGAAGATTCCTCGGCCACTTAGTACGAGAGTCCGTTGCGTTGGCTGTTCCAGCTGAGAACTAGTCACTACGGTAGCTTGTCTGTTTCTGAATATTCTTAGAGCTAAAAATGGTGGTAATGAGAAGTGCATTATGTGATGGGGGAATTAGGGGCATCGGATCAATTTCAGGGGCAAAGTGGGCAGCAGAGAAGGATTAGACGGATAACACTCTGCCCAACCCCTCTGTTAGGAAATTATTGCTTTTATCAAGCGAAGGTGGAATAGCCCAATGGAACCTGATAGAGAACCCGAAACGAAAAGCATTTGCAACTGAGCTGGAAGGATCATCATCACCAAGAGTTGAAGACAATCATCGCTTATCTCACATGATCTCGATTTTCGCGTCCAATTCAAAACTTTCGTCGATTCATTAGTAAATCGATAAAGCGCTTATGGATGACTTCAAAGCTGTTTTCACAACTTCGTTGGTCTGTTTGAAATATGTGTGGAGCAGCGGAAGAACGAAAATCCGAGTTGAACACCTTGAATGAAAGGAAGTCGAGATGCTCCTCCGACAAGCGATGAAACAAGTCCTCAACTAAGTTAGTGGATTGTTCGAAAGAATGGCGTCAATCAGGAACGCTTGTAGAATTACTTACTGATCATTAATTAACCTTAACAGAGCTAAAGTAATTTAGTTTTACCACTGGCTCTGCAGAGGGGAAAACTGAACGACAACATCAAAGCAAAGCACTATCACTTCTAAAAAGACCACAGATAAAATTCAACATATAATCTCTGTAGCCTTTTTAAATATTTTGCTCAAATGGATTTCATTGTCAGAGTTGGCGTTCTTCTATGCCGAGTCGCGATAGGTAAAATGCTGAGTTAATTGACCTACCGTGCGTTTTGCGGTGCCGTTAGCTGCTTGGAGACTGGGGCCGCGGACGAGAACTCTATTTGTCGATGAAGACGCCGAGATCAGTAATACTCCTGATATTTATTCAAGAACCGTGGGGGTCCTTTCATAGCAAGTAATAATAACTTTAACATGAGTTTTAGAACAGGTATACAACATCTATACAATACTTAATTCATGGTTATTGAATAAGTAGTATGTTACGAAAAATGATGAACAAGAAGTGAAGAAACTCCTAAAATATAAACAAAATGAGTATGACTGGATTAACACTATAGGAGACAAATCTGTCGCTCTTGAATGTATAAAAAACAGGCAGGACCGGCCTGTATGTGGCGGTGTATAACGGATTTCATGATGGGATAGGTAGTCCGGTCAGGCAGTACTGGCCTGTATGAGGTATTTGGTAAAAGGTTCGAAACGGACATAATCAAGGCAGAATTCATATGTCGGATGAAGCCATTCATGTCAAAGTAGCGAATAAAAAGCCATTCTCGAGGCGATGGGAACCCAGATGCGATCGGTTGCAGTCAGCCGATTCCAGCCGAGGAGGGGGCAAGGGAGATGCGAACCGACTACTAGTAGACGGCGAATACAGAGAGTTCCGCCAAGAGGGTCGATAGAGCGCATTTTGTTAGGGGGCAAGACGATCAATTTGTGAAGAAGGCGTTGGCGCGGGACAGTGTCGAATACTTTGCGGAAACCGATGTACACGACATCGACCTCAAAACCCGCTTTTAAAGCCCTGTTCCCGATCTTCAGACAAGCCAGCAGATTTGAGAGGCAGGAACGTCCTTTTCGGAAGCCATGTTGAAAATCTTGCAAGATGTTATTTTCTTCGTAAAATTGCCGTATAGCACTCTCTACTAGAGCTTTCATTATCTTGCATGGGAGGCAAGTTAAGGTAATAGGCCTGAAGCTGTTTACTGTCATCCTGCTACATCCCCTATATCAGGGGACGAGGTTACATGTCCTGCACTGTAAGGACAGTCTTCCTGTTCTCATTGACAGCTCAAAGAGAGTCGAATGAGGCTTTGGCAGCTCCGTTGATAGTTTCTTAAGCATCAGCCTAGAAATCCCGTCGGATCCAGGAGGTTTACCTGGTTTTAGTTGACTAAGGACACGTCTTACCTCTTCGACAGAAAAAACGTTTTTTTATTATTTTTCCGTTTTACGTCAATCTCCCCTTCTGTAAATAATAAATTACACCTTTCCACGTACTATCCTATTTTGTATGATGTCCCGAGTGCCCGTATCTTCTGACTGTGCATATTTCGAGATTCTTCAACTTTAAGACGGGACCTTTGTACACATATGCACGTCTTTTCAGTCTTTTTTTAAAGGGGGTTTTTAAAGGCCCTGTCTATCTTCCTTATACATACTTAATTATAATATATAGAGCCGTTAACGCATTGCAATACTCATCCATACGTAAGGGAACAATGAACGTTTTGTGCGCGATAGGGTACAATGATAATAGACTGAAACTAGGAATACAGAAAATAGTAGTTAATTGTACAAACGTAATGAGTTGCGACAAGGGGGTAACCTGTTCGGATGGGAAGGCGACACTGACATGCCACCTGAATAAACGCGGGGGGAACGAAACGCTGTGGGAAACTGCAGGGGAGGGTTGAGTGAGAGTCCGTCGTAGAGCGAGAGAGAGATGTGAGCAACGGCAATTTTTAGAAGGGGGTCGGTGGTATTGAGAGGGAAGGACACCAACCCTTTTCATCGACACGCAGTGACACCATCCTAAGTCTACGCGTCAAAAGTGTCTCTTCATCCAAACAACCCTATACAAATCGTGCGACTGTGGCGGCCGAAAACATAGAGGTTGGCACACGGGGACAATAAGCAACCGCTGTCGATTCCTGGTCCGTGAGAATACTGAGCAGGGTAGGTAGACATCACATCGAGACACACATGTCGAGGCCATAAGAAAACCATTCTAAGGTATTAGTCAGTCAGTCAGTCAGTCAGTGTATTTGAGGGAAATAGGCTTACGCCTTTGAACTCCCTATTTGTACATAAAAATAAATAAATAAATAAATTTTAATTTAATGCCAGTTTACAGGCATTGTCAAGGGGAGTGATTAAACACAAATCCGACCAGCAGTGAAAAAAAACTCCTGAGCTTAAGGCATAAAAATATAGTTGATGGTGGTTTTTGTGGTTTGGAGGACTCAGGAGAAAAAAACTGCCGGCGGTGGTAGAATATCGACCGTCAAGAAGGGGGGGAGGTTGCACGGTATCGGAGATTATCGGACGTCAAATTCCTTTCATGAAGTTGGGGATAGTCAAAGTAGAGGCGTTCAGGAACAGCTGGTGAGACCGGCCATAGTGTTCAGAGACCACAAACGCCATCGATACGGTACAGTCGATCAGTAGATTCAGCACCCAAAATTTGTGGGAGCTTTTCTGAAAGCAAAAATGTGAAGAAATTACAGCATTAAGTGAATGCATACATTGATTCACATATGTCACTAGTCACATGGTTAAAAAGTCACATAGTCCGATTGTTGCTGCAGCATATATCTGTCAAGGCGACATTTAAATGTCTCCACAGATTGAGACATAACAACCGTCTCGGGCAGGTTATTCCACGGTTCCACGACACGGTTGGAGAAGAAATATTTTCTCACATTCAGTCTACCCTGTGGCACACGTAGCTTGAAGGGATGTCCCCGGAGGTGAGTTGTTGTGGCGAGTTGGAAAAAGTCATCGCACCGAAGGGCACAATCCAAGCCGCGCACGATACGGAAAGTTTGTATCATGTCTCCGCGCAACTGCCTATAACTCAGAGGATAGAGATTAAGGTTAGTTAAGCGGATCTCGTATGGCAGTGCACTTTGACCTCTTACTAATTTTGTGGCTCGCCTCTGCACCCTTTCGAGCAGATCGTAATCCTGGTGAGTCCACGGTCTCCAGGCCTGAATTGCATATTCGAGATGGGGCCTTATAAACGTGCCGAAGACTTTGGTGAAGCAGTCTTCATCGAAAACTACGAACGCCCGCTTGATGGCATATAGCATTGACGTTGCGGCCTTGGCCGCCTTACAGCATTGTGTAAAAGGCTTTAGGCTGTCTGCAACCCAAACTCCGAGATCTTTCTGAGTTTCTGCTTCTCGGAGTGGCATTCCGTTCAGATGGTATTGCCGCGTACTAGGGCTCTGATTTCCGAGGCGCAGAATGGTGCATTTGTTCAAATTGAAGGACAAGAGCCATCTGCGGGACCACTCGTCCAACCGACAAAGATTTTCTTGGAAGTTGGTCTCATCGGTAGCATTCTGGATAACTTTCCATATTTTTATGTCATTCGCAAACATGGCACAATCACAGTCCAACCCATCTACGCAATCATTGATGAACAAGAGAAAGAGAGTTGGTGCGTGCACCAAGCCTTGTGGGACCCCACTCTCTATAAATGTGCACCTTGATTGCTGTTGTTCTACGCAGACAATTTGGGAGCGGCCGACAAGGAAATTTTCGATCCATTTGAGAAGTTTGCCACCGATGCCCATAATCCTCAACTTGTGTAGGAGACGCTGGTGCGGAACACTGTCAAACGCCTTCCGAAAATCAATATAGGCAACATGCACGATGTGTTTTGCGTCCAGTGCTCGCGTCCAACTTTGCTTTGTGTATAGCAAGTTCGTTACACATGATCTTCCCCTACGGAAACCATATTGTGTATTGGACAAGAGGTTGTGGGTTTCCAAGTAAGCCATCAACTCCTTTTTGATGGTTTTCTCCATCAATTTGCAGCAGATTAATGTCAGACGGATGGGTCTGTAGTTTGTCGCCTGAGCACGACTACCGCTTTTGTAAAGGGGTGTAATGTGGGCCGTCTTCCAGTCTGTGGGAAGAATTCCAGCATCAAGCGATTTTTGGCACAGAAAGGATAGTGGCTTGGCCAGCTGTTGGGCAAGCTCAGAGAGCAGCTTTGCTGGAATCTCGTCCGGACCGGGAGATTTACATTCCTTCAAGCTTTTTAGTTCTTCCAAAATCGCTTCTTCTTGAACCACAATATTTTCCATAGTGGGATCTCTCATGTTCTCAGAATTAGATGGGGTGAAGTCCGCTTCTCTTGTGAAAACGGATCGGAAAAATTGAGAAAATCGCTCAGCCTTATTTGTACTGTCCGATATCTCCAAGCCGTCGGTGGTATTGAGAGGGAAGGACACCAACCCTTTTCATCGACACGCAGTGACACCATCCTAAGTCTACGCGTCAAAAGTGTCTCTTCATCCAAACAACCCTATACAGATCGTGCGACTGTGGCGGCCGAAAACATAGAGGTTGGCACACGGGGACAATAAGCAACCGCTGTCGATTCCTGGTCCGTGAGAATACTGAGCAGGGTAGGTAGACATCACATCGAGACACACATGTCGAGGCCATAAGAAAACCATTCTAAGGTATTAATCGTGTAAATAGGTAATGGGAATACGATGCAAAGTAAAAAGCAGTGTTACATATACTATAGTCCCGTCTGAAGTGCGCAGTGTTCTGTCGTATTTGTTAGACCACCGGTGGGGAACGCTGCGTTGGGGCACCTGCGGGAGAGGGACGTAGTGATGCTCACTTTGAATGAGATGGATCGCAAGACGGTCCACGATGACAATAACTGCAAAGACGAAGGTCAAGTATTGAAAATTAAAAGGGCACCGGCATCTCTCTGGATCTCCACTACCAAATCCGCGCCTCCCTCAAATATCGTTCGCGGGTCGACGACGTTTCCCCCCCTGGGTGTAGTAGCGGACAGGGCGTATTTGGTGGGAGTTCAAAATAAGAACCGGACGGTTTGCAGTGCTGAGTTTCCGGCGTGTGTTTTTCTTCTTTGTCTTGTGGACCAGAACGACGATCCAAACGTGCTTGAGAAGACGGCTTCAGAGGATATAGTGTCCCCCCTAACCTACAATAGGGAATCATTTAACAATCCCTTTTGACCGCCTGTTTTTCACCATTTCTGTTCAGACTGTACGCTCTCCACACTCATATCTTACGATATAAATCTCTGTATCCGGACAGTTCTTCTGAGTACTGCACTGGCTTGTGTTACTCAGTGAAAGATGAGTGACGTTGACAACCAGCACAATGTAGAGTTGGCGCACAGCCCTGAATCAAAGCCTACTCGTGGAGGAGGAAAAACCGCGAGATCGCAGGTGAGCGGCCCGTCTGAAGCGTATCACGCATGCTGTTGCTTGACCAATCACTTGGCAGCCCATAGACCCAATCCGCAAATGGTGCCAGTTACTCACGTCTATTATCTGTCATTGGAGTGTCAACGCACGCCTATTTCTATTTGGTCTGCACAAGTATTAGTACTATTCTTTTGAATCTCCCGAGCCCTCATCTGTAGTTTATACCGCAACCTCTCCCTTGCAGGGCTTTTTCCTAATTACAAACCTTTTTTTGGAGGAAAGGCACAGAAACCCGAATGCAGCTGCAGGATCCAGACGGACCTCAGAGATCCGAGGCGTCGTCATCTCTGCCATGTAGCGGAGTTAAGACTGCGGCGTTGTGCAAGGTCTGCTCCTCTGTCGAGGCCAAGTACACTTGTCCCCGTTGTGCTCTAAAGACCTGTTCCCTCCAATGCTGTCTGCAGCACAAAAATGAAACTGGATGTTCAGGAAAGCGTAATTTGGCTGCCTTCGTATCCCGAAAGGACTATGATTATTTCAACTTCTTGTCAGATTATCGCCTTCTAGAAGCAGTTGATCGTGAAAACGAAACAAGGGAGAGGCAGCTGTCCGAGGTGAGGGAGTTTATTGGCCTATTTGCTCCTGTGTTACTGGACGGATTTAAAGTTTTTGAACTCAGAAATTGCTCTATAAAATTGACAGAACATCCGGCCGGGTAGTCAGTCATTTTTATGGTCATTATTGCCTTTTCCACGTTCCTCCGACATGATAAATAGGGACACTTACCTGTTTCACCTATCAGACATAAACTAAATCTGGAAATGGAACGTACACAGTGGAGATATTATGTTAGGTCCACTTAAATCGACTTGGGAATGTTAGACATGGCTTATCGCCCCTGATGTAGCTTTTTTGCGTAGTCAGCTCAGAGTTTGCTCTATTTTCATTTTTTCTAACTTTCCTCATGTTGGTACTGATTTACCCAGTAATTCAAATTATCGTCGATCCGTCCCTTAATTGGTGCCTGATGTCCTCCAGGTGCTGACCTATGGTACTCGTCTCTTCAACAGGAATGGTTAACTTCAAGCCGTCCCTTATTCTGGTCCCCCGTAGCGAGTCATCACCAAAAAAGTCCTTGTAGTCGCTAGATGCTGCCTCAACAGTTCATATAATTTTCTCAATGAAGACTTAAAAGGCTGTAGAGGCGGCTGGGATGGAGATTGCATCACTTTTTACCTAATAATAACTCTGGGCTCCCTCAGCTTTGCCTCATCTTAGTGAGACCAAAAAATTCGTAACGGTTTTTCGACAGCATTATGCCGTTTCATATCACGAACAATGGGTAATTAGTGCGAAACCGCTTTAACGTTTCATAAGATATGTTTAGATATATGCCGAGGTCATGTAAATTGTTTATTTCACAAATTTTGGACTCGGGTTTCCAGGATCGTCATCAGGCATACAAAAAATGTGTAAAAACAGTCGACTTTTTAAACGTATCTGGACGTCAACAACTGTCTGACGTTTGTGTCCATAGGCGGACACCGTATGCTATCATCCTGTTCCGATTGACTACTGTCTCCCCCATTTCTCCTTGTAATTCTTTTAGGGAGGATTGAGGCTTTTGCAAGAGAATGGTATTGTGTATCCTAATAATTTAGGTTGCTTAGGTCTCTTCGTTTGTAATAGCTATGCACATGGATGAAAGACGCTTTCAGCGCGTTTTATGTCTTGCCCTCTTTCGGACATTGTTCGATCGACGAAATAATGGGAAGAGGCAGTCACGAAAGTTAATCACCTAGGGACTCGTCGCTCCCGAAGAGGGGAATGCTTTTTGCGGCGTGAAGTCGCTTGACTTTTCTCCACTTGAAGGTCCTCCGTTTCTCAATGCTTTGTCGTTCTGCAATTCCGCGACTTCTGGCCACTCTTTAAGGCTTTTACAGCTGCGAAGCATCTGACGGATATTTACATAAAATATGGATAGCGGTCGATGGACTCCACCCCTACGACGTTTTATTTACTTGGTTCTGCGTACAATCTGTTCCCAGTATTAAGTCTTCCCATACGACACCGGCTCAAAATATATCCAAAGTGCGTGCTCAGACAGCGACTGGCGTGGTGATAGTTTGACCGTCGCATCCGACAATGTCCACCATGTGCTCCACAGCAAGGCGAAGCAGGCATGATGACTTGCGCATGGATAGTTTATAATGAGAGTAGACCCGCACAGCCTCTACCACACTCTCTCCTCCCCACCTGGACCTGGTGTCAAGACAGAGCCAAGAAACCTGGAGGCGGGGGAGGGCGCAGGTGGATAACGCGGCCGGACCCTCACCCAGGCGTGCCACCACACTCCCTGGTCCACAACCAACACTTGACCAGGATTTCGACCAACACAACAGAAAGGATGTGGATGACTGGGCAACCATGCATGCGACCTGCATACCTAGCGGGAGCTCAAGCGCATCTACCGCCAGAGAACCGGCTACCGGAGAACTGTCAGCGCACACGAGGCTGTCAGTGCTATAGTCTGCTGATCATGTCATAGCAGGTGCTCATAAACCCTGGGGCATATTCACATACACGTTAGCATCAGCGCGAACGCGCGCACACACTAGGTCTGGCAACAGCAGCAGCGCAACACACATACACACATAGATGCGCATACAGAAGGGCCACTGTCACCAATCTACCACCCTGCTACCTTCCAGGACTACGTCGGCAGCAGCGACCGGCATATTGAACTGGTAACATGCGGTTACACTTTTTTGGGTGATCTGAGATGTCATCGCTAATGATGGTCCCCGGGCAGTGGTGGTCAAACACCTCCAGTTTTCTGGTCTGGGACGCAACTGAAAACACTTCGATTTTACCAGCGTTTATGGGTAAATCAAACAATTTAACGATTTCGTTCACCCGTGACACCATAGGCTGTGGATCATTAAAACTGGAGGCTGGTAGGGTTGTGTCAGCCGGTCCGGGTCCGGGTGCAAACTCAATCGTCAAACTGGAACTTACGATTACTTTGCTTTCCAGGTACGACCGTGCTGGCCGTTTTAACCTATCCAACTGTGCCACTTCATACATATTAATAAAAGTAGATAATGTTTCATCGGAAAAGTCTGGGACACTAGAAGGGCCATCTGGGTTTACTTTTCGTCATCAACCAGTGACGCTCTAATCCAAAACTGCAAACTCGAGATTTGAACTGCGAGTCAGTTGGTCATAGAGCAATCCTCTCATCACTGCACCAACGGGCTTTCATCATGTCGGGTGAGATTGGAAGTATCCAATCACATGGGAGTGGCGTACATTGTTCGAAAATGGACATTTCTCGGGCTTGCAGCCCGGAATTATAGCATCACTGGCTGATGGCGACAAATAAACCAAAATGGCCGTTTTAGTGTGCCTACTCTTGTTAGTGCAATTGCTAGTCGCCATGCAAACTCTTGCGGCGACCCCAAGGCTCATTTCCTCCCCATACAAGGTGCGGCGGGTTTACTTAATCGATACTGCCTCCTCGTCGGATATCTGCAGACGGAACTACTGTTTTGGAGGCCATGTTTTTATAAACACTTTAGACATTGTTTGCGGACTTAGACGCTGGTAATCTGGACCTCGTTTTTTCATTTTAAAAGTTGCTTTCTCCGCGACTTTTTATGGTGGGGTTGCCGTGGAATTTATGTCACTTCTTAAACAGCAAATGCATTTCCTCACGAGACGAGACTTGGAGGTCTGACTTGTTCATAGGCTGGCGTCTGCTTTTTTCAGCATGAAACATTAACCGATATTTTAAAGTGTGGTTGCGGTTATAAAGGACTACATGGGTGGGTTTGTCATATTGATTATCGTTAAACGTAATCGCATGATATTTGAGTCGCGCCAGACCTCTGACTCTAATGCGCTCCCTTACTGTCTCACTCGCCGAAACGACTATTTAAGTAGTACGCCTTTTCGATGTCGGTGCCCGTATAAATCTAAACAAAATATCCTTTTATGTACACAGTCCACAGTGGATCACATCTCCAGCTATTCCACTCTTTGAAGGGATATCTATCAGTTTTTTTATCGCAAACTTGCCGTTGCACTTATGTCTAAGGTTCCAAACTACAAGCTGTACACTTTCTATTTAAGAAATATCGCCCACTCCGCCATGCTCTTAAGATGATACCATACAGGCTTCACAAAATCTTGCAATGAACATGTATGCTTCATAAGCAGCATTAATGCACATACAGATAAGATGCTATTCGAATAGCCATTTCACGGTCCGGAAAAATCTCATAATTGCATACCTTTTTAGAACTAGAAGTTACCTTCAGAGTTGAAAATTTAAGGAAGACATAATTTACTACAAAACGAGTATAAGAGGCGATGTTTCTATGCATGTCCTCTATAAAATGTGTTTCATTCTATAAGGGCATCAGAAAGTAGTGGAAAAAAGCATGCTATCTAAGTAGTCCCTTTCTGGGATTTTCGCAAGCGGCAGAAAAGATGGGCATTCAAAAGTCGACTTCCCCCTCGTGGCCGAAATATGCATTGTGATCAATATTGCAAACCCATCTTTCCTTTAAAACCGAGAGTTTCTGTCAGTGTTTCTTGAGTTTCACCACCGAATTCTCTGGTCCTCGAATATAACATCAGTTGAGAATTGGCCAATAGTGTTTGGTGAGGATGAGTGCGCCTACCTTGGTCAGGGACCTTAGTCGGATGTGATTCTCACCTTTTTTTGCCTCTTAAGTAATTTGCATACTTAAATGTTGCTCTGGACACGCCGTATGCTTAAAACGTGTTACTCTTGTCCCCATCATTACCCTTGCCAGCTCCGCCAATCATGTCGTCGGCCATCGCCAGGCCAGTCAAAGCTCGCTGTCCTTGCACGTTCTTTAGGCATCGATTTCCGTGCTCTAAGCCCCCTGCTCAAACGTGCGCGTATGAATAAGACCTTCGTCAGCAACAGTAACGACCTTCCGGCCTCAGTACCCATTATCATGTGGACCCTAGAGTTCTGTCTCCTACCTAGCTCCCATCCAGAGGGAGGCCATCGTGCCTGTCTACGCGATGATCAGCGCTGGTGCGACCAACTGCTCAGTCCGTTGCGCATCCTCGTACACTCCTGTCACCCAGATTGGTCGATGGAGGCCATTTGGCGCGACAAGGTCACTGCCCTCTCCTCCGTCGAGCAGGAGAGCCTTGTCACCAGCAAGGCACCTGCCGGGGCAGTTGTCAGCTGGCTCATCACTGCGCCTCCCTCCACAGCTCAGAAGGCCGCCGCCGCCACAGCTACCACCGACTCCTCCCTTACCTTCTTCTTCTACATCCAGTGTGAAGGAGGGAAACAGCAGTCAACTAGGGGTGCGATTTACCCAAAACGCGAGATCTTTCCCAGAACCACTCTGAATGAGGTGCTAACCTATGACGGTTTTGTCATTCACGAGTTTCCTACCATTTGGGTCTCTCGGACAGAATTACCCACCACCGGATAGAGGGAGCTTCTCTTCTGTCCACTTCACTCTTAGCTTGGCAAAGGCAAGTGACAACAAATTCGAGAGTAGACCGGTCCGGCCTCCAGCTCTCCCTTCCCCCACATGTCCGCTCGCGCGGACTCTTGCATTTGCTGGAATTCATATTTTTTTACCAGTCACTTGGCGTTTGTTTCATTTCTTTTCTTGTTTTTTGTGCTGATGTAAAGAGACACCTTTATAGCTTATGTATCCCAATTGCTTTTTGAGGACAGGCATGGTGGTATAATCAATCCGTGAGTTCACATCCACCGACGCTTCCCCAAATGCCCAAGGTCTCGGTTAAGATGGGTGATCAGCCTCATAAACAATGTGTTCGTTGCACTCATTACAGGCGGCCTCGCACTGTGGCGTCTCTTTTCAGTCAAGCGGCCGGAGACCGTCGAAGCCAGAAGGCCTGTGTTCGGTGTACATCAAGGGTACCTCTTCGTCTATGGTGTTTTCACTCGAAGCTCTCCTGACTGCACTAGACCGGACTCTTCGTCCTGAAAGACTCGTAAATCTAACTTCGTTCACGGGTTGCTGTACACTGTTTTATATTAGCTAGTGGAATCGATTTTCGACCCACAATCGTAGCCTGCATTGTGTTCTGGTGTTTAAGAAAGCTTAAGTGCAAACTCGAGCCCTGAGGTTATGTCCCTGGGGTCTTTGCCACCTAAGCCTCAAACAGCGACGGATAAACCGTTATAATTGACGCGATATTTTGGCCAGGTCGCAGTTGGTACCCAGGACCCGTATTACAGGTAGCTGGGGGGTTTGTTTACTGGGGCTATTTTGTGGGGCTCCATAACCACATCTGTCCCATTTGGCTTCCGTTTTACGGTTGAGGTTAGAATTAGGGAACCAGTTTATGATTTCCGATTTTCAGGTTAGGGTTATGCTTTTAGGCTTAGGTTTTCGGGTTACGGTTAGGGTTTGAGCGTACGAGTGGGTTTCAGTATTACGGTTAGGCTTCTCAGTTACGGCTATGTCCAAGGGCTACGGTTAGGGATGCCGTTAGGGTTAACTTTTACGGTTGAGGTTAAGGCTAAGGTTAGGATTAGGGTTAAGTTCGCCGTCCGCTTCCCATTCTTGGCCACCAACTGCGATCTAGCCGATATTTTTTCCAACCAACACCGCCGTATGTGATTGCAATTTATCTGGTCGTAATATGTAAAATCGGAATACCGCTATTCATGGAACAACTTGTCAGTGTCAAAATACTACCTTAGGGAGGCGTTTTTAAACAAAACGCCTCCAGAAATGGCATTGTTACATGTCACTGGACTCATACTGAATGCGATTTTGCCACCCACGACACCGAGAAATTCCGACTCATACACGCGTCATAGTTAAGTTTTGTCTGGATCGGAGGCGCTCTAGATGAGCTTGGAGACCGTCAGTCGGTGGCCCCTGTGATTCATTCTCCGATCAGGTCTGTCCGCCGTGTCTGTAGTGAATGACTGCATGTAGGGGGTTAGGGAATGGAACCATCAGTTGTGGCCTTTGCTAGCTGCGATGGCCTGACGGTGCTGAACCGACCCGAATGCTTAATCTTCGTGAGATTTAATCTCCCTCAACCCCGCCACGACCTGTCGAGGGAGCTAACTGATGGGGACTGGCCGCGGCCTCTTCCACGTGCGGAGTTGCCGTGCCAACTGGCTCAACTTCGCGCGAGAGTCTACGCCCGCAGGCCGCAATGGGAAGCGATCATTAGTACTCCGGTAAACTCGCAACATGTACTGGCCGACTCGGACGGAGCCGAGCACTCCGCTACTTTTTTCCGCTAGTTGCGGTCATGTCGATTTTCTGCATTGTCGATGTCTGTCTCCAATCGACCACGCAGGGGCTTATTACAGTTGCAAAGCCACACCTGTTTACACGCGCCCGATGCCTTTCCCATCGTCGTCGTCAGTGATGGTTGGTTGACTGTCCTTCTGTCAGATTGACCTAATGCGCCCTGCCCATGCTGGTGTTTCGCTCCTACTAGTTCTCACCACCAGCCGGATGTGCGCCCCATCTCAGTAGAAACTACTACCTGAACTCTGTCACCCCGACTCCCGATTTGGAAACGTGATTTTGTGGTGAGTGACAATTGAGGCCTCATAACAACGAAACTGATCGATGTCGTAGTTGGATCTCCAATTTCAATTCGGTTGATAGACCGTTGGGCGAGAGCGATTTAGGGAAATAACACTGGTGGGAGGCAGGCACGTCGGATGGTGTGTTGGCTGGTTGAGGGGCGGAGAAGAGCGGTGTGCCCACCGCCCCCAGCTCTTCGGCAAAGTCGTCTCTGTACTCCTCGCTGACAGTTATGATGCTCGTTGACTGCTCGTGTCCTCGCCCGATTTGTTTGATGCGTTCTGACCCTTCGACTGCACTGGTCCGCAGGCATCCGGGTGTCTGTCCGCCAGACCATGCTGCAACGCTCAAACCACAAGCATTCGAATTGTATGTGTGTGTGTTTTCCATGGCAGGTTACGAGTTCGAATGTCTGTCACAGAGCACGCCTTCATTGTGAGCTCGCGGTATCTGGTCATGCTTGACAATCGGGTTTTTACTACCGGGATGCACAATACGTATGCAAAATTGTGTCATCGGGTGCTATCCCCCACGATATTCCATTTCAAAACCAGACGTCATGCTTGAAGGTCGAGTGTGTGCATACCACCTAGTGGAATCCACCGGCCGCCTAAGATTCGCGAGTATTCCTAGTAAGGTAAACATCGTTTGCTGCCTTACGGTAACAGAGTTAGAAATTGAGTTGTAATCAGTCCTAATCATGTCTCAGGGGAACTCAACACGTATCTAAAATACTACAAGAAGCAGTTAAGGCTGAAGGAGATGCAGAATGGAGAACTGACCGACAAGACGAAAGAGATCGGAGGATATGCAGACCGCGGCAAAACAAGGGAACTCTTTCGCGGTCCTCAAAACAGTCTTGGCCTCTAAATCAAGGGACATACGTCACTGGCCAATTCAGACGGTAACGTTCAAATGTCCTATAAAGTACAGATTCTGGAGCGCTGAACCGAGCGCTTCAGTAACGTTTCAAGCCGCTTATCTGCAATCCACTAGAGCCCTGTCAATTAACCGCCCAAGTGGCATCATATGCTGTTTTTGATCGTCCGCTCCTTTTTGCTGAAGGCTGTGAGGTTTGAATAACAGATGTCCAGTAAAAATACTTCGGCCGCCGACCCAGCTGAAGTTTACCAACACAGCGGCCAGAAACCTCCGAGCAAACTGATTTCGCCGTTTTAGAAGATGCTAGGATAAGGACAGATGCCATAGGGCTTCAAGGCCATCGGTAACCTCAACAAATGAGAAGGAAACCGCCGCATCTGTAACGATCATCGTGCGATCTCCTTCCTCAATATTCCAGGCACGAATTTTACTCGCATGCCACCAAATTGCGGCTACACGGCTCGTTCCAGAAACGCGATGCTGTTTGCGAAATCGTGGAAGGACGTGCGTACATCATCTTCGCTGCCTGCCGGCTGCAAGCAAGTGGACCAGCAGCCTCCATAGTACCTTTGTGGATTAAACGTCATGAATCGTGACGGAACGTGGGGAGCCGTGATTCAATTCGGATGTTCGGAACGGTTTACACAAGTGATGGCTTGTCTCAAGGACGGCCAGTCAGTCGGAAGCCTTTGTGTTTACTCGCCCCCACTCTCACCAGTCCCGCAGCGTAGATGGATGCCCGCTGTGTGGATCAGCCTGGCGCACCGCGATGTGAACGAGCAACTCTCTTCCAGACCAACCAATCAGACGACAGTTCGACTGTCAACTCGGACAATGTTCACCGTGTGCTACACAGCGAGGTGCAGCAGGCACGGTGACTTGCGCGTGACTTAGTTTATAGTGATAGTGAACTTGCGCAGCATCTACCGCACTCTCTCTTCCCAATTCCCCGCCTGGACCCGACGTCAAGACAAAGTCAAGAAAACCTGAGACGGGGGATAGCAACATCATGAACCAACGTCTACATCGCCCAGCCTCTGTCAAAGTGTCCTCACTACCAACTGAGATGTGGGGCACAGAGGGGCATGGTCGGATACCTTCAGATCCACCGCAACGTCACTGCGACAAACCCACATCCTCCTCCACAAAAGGCCAGCTCATCTCCCCGCCAGTATTATTATTGGAGACATCCTCACCCCAACACCACGTTTCTATCTGTGTTTTCCCTGGTTTGTCGTTTTCTTGACCACTGCCAGTACACAAAGGACAGCAAAAGCAGGCAATACGAACAATGCAGATAGACCCCTCCCCCTTGCACTCGAACATTCGAAGTAATACGTAGTACGCTGATTGGTTGCCTGCTAATGCATCACAACTCGACTGGAGCGTCACTGCCAGTAGGTTTAACGCACACCTGTCATGCACGCTTTAACTATCGACACTGCCAGAGCACCCAGATATCGCATGGGTTTCAAATCAAATCAGTGTATTTGGAGTAAATGACAAAAGCTCTTGAGAACTCCATTTAAAAAAAATACAAGTCTGCATAGACAGCAGTTGATTTGTAAAGATTTACAAGTAATTTCAGCACGCTGAACGCCCGAGATTGCTAATGAAACAGGGGTGTTAAAAGCTGGTGAATTTGCCAAATAACAGAGAACAACTTATTGACTGAAGTTGCGCTCAACAAGTCCACCAGTGTTAAAGTTTATGTGAACAAAATGGGTTATTGAAATCAAGATAGTAGCATGTTAACAGTTATAAAACTTCGGGGTTTGGGGATTTCTAGCTGCCTTTTAACAGATGAGCGTCCAGACGCCCGTCAAACACGCGTTGGTAGAACGCACGGCCTATTCGACCAGTGACACACACGCTATTGATAAGCAAATTGGCGCAGCTCGGGTGACCTACATGCGCACCAATAACCGGCAAACCCTCACACATCGTTCATGCCGCTTCGCCCACACTCACCTCCGGTGGTCTTGACTTTGTCTTGCCATTTGAGGGCGGGATGCATATGG